CTAAGATCACTAATTCACTCAATCAACCAACACAATATGAAGAAGAAATGAGACTTCTTAAATGCATCAACATCCTCCATAGTGCTACACTACCTCCCTAGGTTGCATATTACTATAAAGACTGTCAATTCAAAGCATACTGAGCAGGCAATTGCATGGAAACACGTACTTGGAGCCCTCAAATTTAAAAATTTGGACAGTGGACTAGGCTCCAAGCACACAAACAGATCTAATGCAGTTGAAGATAACCACCCCCCCACACTTAAGATCGACATTGCCCTCAATGGAGAAGAGGGAAGGGAGAGGGAACGATGTTACCGGTATGCACGGACTGCAGGAGACTGGAAACGGGCCAGTCGGGGCAAGCACAGCCACAGGGGAACAAAAGAGCTCAAACACAATATGTTAGGTTCAATGGTCAGCCCAATAAAATATCATCCAAACCAAAAGAAAACAAACCAAACCCAAACCGGGTCACAATCCGACTCAAAACACAAGAAAGAAAATCAAACCGTGGTGGGGTTGCCTCCCCACAAGCGCTTCTTTATCGTCTTTTAGCTGGACGCCCATGGTGGATACTCAAGGCGGTGCAGGAACAGGTGCCCCCAAGAGCGGATCCACGTCGCTCTTGAGGTACAGCTTGAGGTTGTGGCCATGCACCCAACGGATGCGACCACCATCATCAGTCAGCTCGACCTGCCCATCTGGCAAGATGCAGGAGAGCGAGTACCCAGACGGCCAGGGTGGTCGTGGTGCAGGAGGTGGGACCAGCTCATAGTGGTCTCCACTCTTCTTTCGTGCAGGCTTAGCAACCTGCTGCTTCGGCCGCCACTCCTCCTTAAGCTTTTTGTTCGGAGGCGTGGCTGGATGGAGTGGCGGCGAAGGAATGATAGGAGGGTCCTGCAAAATAGGAGGTGCAGAAGGATACACGACAGGCTCGTGTACCTGATCAGAAATAGCATGCACAGGCGTGACATCAATCATAGCACAGTGATCAAACTCAGTCACAGAAAAAGTAGCCTGTTCATTCCCAGCACGCAAGATCAATTTACCATCATGCACATCAATAAGTGCCTTGGCGGTGGCAAGAAATGGCCTACCTAGAATCAAAGGCACATCCACATCCTCATTTACATCCAGAATAACAAAATCAACAGGATATGTGAATGCACCAACATTAACAAGCAGATCCTCTATGATTCCCCTAGGATGCACAATAGAACGATCAGCTAATTGAACGCTCATCCTAGTAGGGCTAAGTTCACCTAGGTCTAGCATTTTATACAACTTATATGGCATGACGTTAATGCTAGCGCCTAGGTCCGCCAAGGACTTTCCTACATGCATGCTGCCAATAGTAAGAGGGATAGTAAAACTCCCTGGATCCTTGCGCTTCTCGGGCAGCTTGTTCTGCAGGATAGCAGAACACTCCTCGCTCAGCAACACTGTCGAGAGATCCCCAAGTTTCTTCTTGTTGGTGCAGAGATCTTTCATGAACTTTGCGTACTTGGGCATCTTCGACAGTGCCTCCATGAACGGTATGCTGATGTTGAGCTGCTTCAACTTTGCCATGAACTTGGCAAACTCAGTCTCCAGCTTGTCTTTGTGTAGGCGAGTGGGGAAGGGAAGCTGGGGTACATGCTCCTTAACCACTGGTTGTGGCTTAGGAGCAGGGGCTTCCTTCTCCACCCGCACTTCTGCATCATCGGCTGGAGGTGTTGAAGCAGGCAGTGACTCCTCCTGTCTGGCCGGGACAGGATCAGCAGATATGACCATACCGCTCCTGGTAAAAATGGCATCCAGCTGCTGATGCTGGTGGGGATCTCGAGGATTCGGAACAGTGGTGGCAGGCAAAGTCCCCAGTGCCCTGGTGGTGTTCTGGCGGGCCAAGATGCCCACCTGGGTCTGCAGATCCTGCAAAATGGCGCCCTGGTTCCGCTGACCTGCCTCCAGTGATGTGATAGCAGCCTGGGTACTAGTCATGAATGAAGCTAGAATGTTTTCCAGCTTCGTCATCCTGTCATCTGGGGCCGGAGCTGCTGCTGGCTCGGCGAACTGGCGCTGGGGCTGCTGGAATGGCTGCCCTTGCCTAGGCTGGTAGGGCTGCTGCTGTAGGTCTGGGCCCTGGCGAGCCTGGAAGGGCTGCCTCTGCGGAAAACCACCTGCTGGTGCTGGGAAACCAGGTGGTTTAATGGTGTTGCTACTCCAGGCGAAGTTGGGATGCTGGCGCCACCCCTCATTATATGTAGTACTGTATGGATCGAGGCGCCGCGCATTGGCAATGAAGGCCAACTGCTCCTGGGGTGTGGTAGACTCCCTCATAGCCTGGCAGTCCTCCACTAGGTGATTGGAGCTCTCACACCACTGACATTGAGCAACTGGAAGTGTAGCCAAACCTCTGCCCGGAATAAGACTGTTGGGCTGCTTCAATGTCTGCACTAGCTCAGCTACCTGCTGCTCGAGCCCGGATCTGGTCTCCATGGCGTGCACACCACGGTCCCAGGACTGTCTGCCTCGGCTACCCTGTCCCCAAGAATGATCTCTGGCAGCCAAAGTACTGATCATCTGGTTCAGCTCGGGTGGAGTCTTGGTAAGAATATCCCCTCCTGGGCATAGAGACTCAATCACCCTCTGGCTATCTGGCGAAAGGGCACTGTAGAAGTTCCCTACTGTGAATGCATCACTGAAGCCATGATGGGGGCACTGCCAGAAATAGCCCATGTACCGCTCCCAAGCATCACGAAGTGACTCATCTGGCTCCTGGCGGAAGTGAGTGATCTCCCGCTGAATCTCTGTAGTCTTCGATGCCGGATAATACCTGTGCACGAACTTGTCCGCCAGATCGTCCCAAGAGGTGATGGACAATGGGGGCTGGGTCTCCAACCACCTCTTAGCATTCCCCGCCAGAGAATGGGGGAAGAGGTGAAGGCGGATCGCATCATCGGGGACACCATTCAGCTTGAACCCGTTCGTCAGCTGCAGAAAACGGGAAAGATGCACCCTGGCCTCCTCATTCTTCAAGCCATGGAACTGGATAGAGGATGTAATGAGCTGGATCCAGCATGGCTTGATCTCGAAGTTGTTTGCAGGGATCGGCGGGTAGAGGATGACCGGGCGGATGTCAGCAATCCGAGGAGTGTAGTAGTACTCCAAGGTGGGACCCGGCTGCGGTGGATGATGAACTCCATGATCCTGGGGTATGGGGTTGTTCCCCAGGACCTAATTCACCGGGGGAACATGCTGAGGATTCCCCTGGTGCTGATTGTAGTCTCCGTCCATTCCGTGCTCTTCTTCAGAATCGCTACTCAGGTGGCCGTCTAGGCGCTCTTCCGTAGCCAGTCTAGCTCGCTGTTGTCTCTTGAGCTGGCGACAGGTGCGGTCAATCTCTGGATTCAACGGCAGTAAACCTCCCGACTGGCTACGGGTCATGCACTACCTGCACACACTCAAGCAACAAACCCGTGAAGGCACAAGTGGGACAAAGCAAACAAAGCAAAAAGAAAGGCTAAATTAACAGAAATCACTTTTCTTCAACAACCTAGCCGTCCCCGGCAACGGCGCCAAAAACTTGACTCGACTCTACTGTCACTCCAGGAATTGGCCAAGTGAAACCACTTCCTAAAGCGTAGTATAGCGGGTTTGGGTTTAATTATCAACCCGGGTCCTAGATGTGATGACTACTCAGTGAATTCTTGTTATCTAGCAATGAAACTGGAATGCAAGTCTAAACTAACAAACTAACAAAGCAAGTAAACTGTTGTATTCAGGTTAAAGAGGTCACCCGGATATGGTTCCCCCTAGACTGTAGTTAAGCCGGATTGTAATTACCAAGTTCAGTTTCTATGACAGTTATACTGCGGAAGGTTCTTAAACAGCCTGAAGTCTCGACTAAAGGTCTTCAGACCCTCTCAATCTGACTCTCTAGCGGGCGACTAACCTCCACCGGAGTAGACAGATTGAGGCCCTAAGAACAAAACCTCCACTTCCGGAGTAAATCCGGTACAGAATAGTGAGTTGGCTCCTCGACTAAAGTCACCAACTCCCTACCTTCAATCAAGGATACTCTATTAACCTAGGCAGATATTCTCATTCTAGGTTAAAGCAGAAACAACAGGAATTTGATCAGGATTCAAGTCATTCAATCATTCAAACCTCAATCGAATATAATCAATCACAAAATCAGTACTTGGGTTCATACAATCAAACCTAACATACAAATCTAGGGTTCTCCATACCCAGATGAATGGGAGAACTACTCCATGGAGAAGAAAGCAAAAGCAGAATCAGACACGGAATTCATACTGCGAAGGATGGATTCCTGCTTCTGGACGTTGATTGGCACTTCTCCAAGCTCAAGCTGGCCTCCAATGGTGTTGAAGATCAATCTAGGGCACTTGGGAACTCTTGCTCGTCACTTTCTCTCTCTAGGAACTGATCTCTCTCTCAAAAACTCGAATCCCCTTGAATTGTGGCTGAAACTCTGCTTAAAAGCATCAGTGGCCAAAGCACGGTCGAGGGCACGGCCGTGCTTTGCCTGAGCCTGCCCGTGTTTCGGCCAGTGTTTAATTACACGGCCAGCAGCTGGTGGAAACACGGCCGTGCTTCGCGATGTACACGGCCGTGCTTTGACTGAACACGGCCGTGCTTCGGTGCCCGTGTTTGCAGCTGAATTGGCCAAACTGGATTTGCTCTCGGCATAAAAAGCACGGCCAGCAGTACACGGCCGTGTAATGCCTTAGGCTGCCCGTGTTTTGGATCCAGCTCACCGAAATGACTTCCGAATGCCCCGAAACTCGCGCTTAGCCTTCCCTTTGACACCTGGGACCTAAAACATGACAAAATAGCACAACCCGGCGTAAAATAGGCCAAAACACACAACTATGCCTCTCAAACGGATAAGAACTAGGGGCGCAAACATGTGCAATTACATCGTTATCAGTGTCCTATCATCTAGTGATAATAGGAGCAACCAAAGGTAGGTGCATGAATTTAAGACGAGTTCATGAAGGGGGGCAAAAACACGTTAAACCTTCTCCATACCTCATACTCTCAAGGGAAGCCTTCTGCAACCCGGGATCAGCATCCTGAACCCTTTCAACATATAATTCCAATTGCTGCTTCAATGCCAAATCCTCATCTGACTGCTCACAATTAAATTAGATGTATAGGTCAGGTCAAACTATAACGTTTTTCTAATGAATGGTTGAGAAAAGTAACTAAGTACAACAGAGTTGTTCAATTTGAGGTCATAACCAGCAACAAACCCTCCCCATCTCCATATCCATTACGAAGCCCCGATTAGGGCGACCAGTACTGGCTCACGATTCACAAGCTTCTCCAACAAACACAAGGCATTACCAACACTGGAAGCCCTAATTTGCTCCAGGGAAAGAAATCAACCATCACAAAACAAACCGAGCTAAGTCGACTCTTACTCTCGTCGCTACATTACACAATCGTCCCAGCAACCAAAATCAAAGCACAAATCGGAAATTAAATGGCGCTCGACCAATGGCAACCCAACTTGCCAGATCATCGTCCTTCTTTTCATCTTTCTTCTTGGGGTCCTTGGCCGGGACATTCACCGTCGCCTCCTCCCTGGTGGCCCCACTGCCGCTGGCGCCGTTGGGTTCTGGGGTCATCGTATTTCACAAAGGCAGCAAAGATGGGAGCAGAAAGAAACCCTAAAAATTCTTGATCTAGACAAACTGCTTGATGTAAAAAATCTAGTCGCTGCAAGGCACAAACAACTGCGAATGGGAAGCCGAATGTAGATGAAAGTTGCAGCTGAAATATATAAAGGGCGGCTTGGTTGACCCGAAAGGAGTAGAGAGGACGGACTGGAATGAGGGAAGCCTTTTCCTTTTCTCTGATGCCAGATGCCGTGAAAGAAAACAGGCGCATCGGGGCTAAGGATCAATGCTTTCAGAACCGGCTCGACTTTTAAAGGTTCAACCCAAAGTTGTTAACCCAGATTAACCCGTCAACCCGATTAAGCAATTGAATGGCAATTTGACTGGTCAAATCAGGATTGGTCCGACTAACCTTTTTTTTTACAATAAGAAACCTTTTATTCCATCCGAAACCGGGAAAATCGTGGTCACATTACAGGAGTGTAGCAATAATATTGACAATTAAAATCCAATCCACTGATAACGATCCCGCCCTAGCATGTCGTGCCACCCAATCCGCTAATCGATTCAAACGTCGAGGAACAAACTCAACACGAATCGATGGTGTAAGCCTGAGAAGGAGAACCATCTGCGCAATGGTAGCCCGACACATCCAATGCCATGTCGAGGGTTCCTGATGCAGCGCAAGGGAAAGCACCTGACAATCTGTACGAATACAGGTTGGGATGTTATCCTGAGAAGCAACCCTAATAGCATTGAGAAGACCAAAAGCTTCCGCCTGAATCAGATGAGAACAAAGGAAGGTCTCAGTCTTGTCGTCGTACATGTGACCCTGAGAGTTAGCAATAGTAATCCCATATGTCGCCGGACTCGAGTCTGAGATGAACGACCCATCACAGAACATCACTCGGGTACAGGGCGGTGGTTCAATGTTGAAACGGGAACCCCTAGACTGAGAAGGTAACTGAGTTGGCCGGTAAGGAATCGAAGAAGGTGTCGAGACTCGAGCTTCTTCCCATTCAAGGATGTCACGGGCCGACTTAATTACCAAAGAGGCTGGGGAAGGGGCCTTACTGTCAAAGATGAAAGCATTCCTGGATAGCCAAATAATCCACATGCAGTAGACTATCTTCCGGATGTGTGCCTCCCCCATGGTGTATTTCAGATTGAAAACCCATGAAGCAAATGAAGCATCCATAGGCAGCACAATGACAAGGAGCCCTGATAGGTTCCAAGTTTCTGAGGCATGCTGACAGTGGAAAAGATAGTGTATCACTGTTTCAGATGGCATCTCACATATTGGACATTTAGGATTGGGAGCACATCGGCGGGTGAAAAGTCGCTCCCTCGTCGCAATAGCTTTCTTAGCGCATTTCCATATGAAGAACCCCAATTTGGGAGGTAGAGCGAGGGACCACATCCCCAATCTTCACTATTGGGGTGGTTTTGCAATTGAGTTGGATGGGTGGCATGCAAATCACGTTCTTCACGAAGGACATGGTAGGCTGAGCGGGCAGTATACTCTCCATTAACAGTGTGCTTCGAAGCCCAACAATCCCTCGATTCAGCAGGACCAATAGGGACTCGAAAGATAGCATCTGCGACATCCTCAGCGCATATATTCCGGATAGCAGCAACATCCCAAGACCAATCAATCTGCCGAATCCAATCACTCACTCGAGAATCAGGGAGGTTTGGATCAGCCACGGAAAGGCTCGGAAGGGATGGAATCCATGGGTCAAGGTTGAAGCTGGTATCCTCTCCTGACATGATCACCTTGATCATTCCTCCTTTAATCGCCTCTTTCGTGTCACACAAGGCATTCCACACCCAAGATCCACATCTTCCCTTTGGAGTTGCGAGAAAAAATCCCTTTGGTCCGACTAACCTCCCATGTACACATTTAATGGCTAAATTGAAATATGTTTTAGGCAAAGGTTGTCAACTTAGTTTCGTCCGGTGATTGGTGGGAATGGATTCCAATACATAACCTTGAACGGATTCCATACATAACATTGTGGTGTATAAACATGCGTAATCCGATTTCGTCACATTAGTGTACCTTCTTTCTCTTGAAAAAACTTCAATTTTTTCTCTTAATCTTTAACGCACGATTTCTCACACGTTTTAAGCCATAATTAAATTTTTTTGCACAGTTAGATCAGATTAATTGTGATCTTCGAAATGATATTCACTTTGATATAATTTTGGAACAAAATAAAAGTGAGTCATTTTTTACCAGTCTATACCATATGGTATTAACTGGTATTAAATAAGAGCATACTATATGGTATGAAAGATACCAGCTCATGCCAGGGTGGTATGGAGTTGATAATGAGAGGTATGAATTTTTTCACCCAGAAATTTTGGATCCAACAGATCATGATTAAATTGTTCCTTCTTTGCAAAAAATTCCGATAACGACTTAAAAACGAAGGAGATACCATATGGTATGCAGTTGGTAACGAGAGGTATGCAATATTTCTCAAACAATATTGAAAATGGATCTCATTTGGTAGAGCACAACGAAGTCATTCCATCTTCAATAACTTGTATGCAACATTGAGTCGTGATCCACAAGTAGATTAAGGGTCAACAGTCTAATCGGTTTAGCCCAGTTTAGTTCGGATATATGGAAATAGTCATTATATTGTACGGCAAAGGTTACGAGAAGAAATCTTAGAATCTAATAAGTTTATGTATCAAATTATATGAAACTCAACTCCTTGGGATAGAGGGAGGAGAAGAGAGCTTGCTATGAGTGAATAGTTATCTACAATACGCTTAATGAATTATGTTAGCACCCTATCTGATTTCCTATTGATATATAAATTATATCGAATCTCGTCTAACATTTAGATAATAACAAATTACATTATACCAAAATAATAATTCGTACTGGAAGCCAAGATATATTAATAATTATTCAAAAAAAATAGTAAACTTTCACACTTAAAATCCACCATATAACATCAATATTCATATTCACCTTCTTTTTTTGTCATAGATATTCATGTTCACTTAGAATTCTAAATAAATTAAAGTACTCAATCTTCAAAGATAAAGACATTCATCTCTATCTTCATTGCATCAACGATATGAGAAATGTGGAAATCAATTTTATCGGTCACAACATACTAAAAGTCCTCTTCATCAAAATATGAAATCAAATCATCATAATTTTTACTTATGACAAGATCATTAAAAAGAGTGTATAGACTTTTACATAGATGCTATATAAGGAAATGCTTAACAAGAGGACGTTTTCTAGAGGATGATTCATCCTCTTCATAAAAAGACTTTTCGATATCATCATAGTATATATCCGCATGTGGATCTTCTTCTACAATCCAAAAATCAATTTTATCTTAATGCTTATAATCAATTGGAAATTTTGCCCATTCCTTCTTCAAGCACATACAAGTTATTGAAGATAAAACAATTATTAAGTATATGAAGTATTAATAACTTTACAATGTTGCATACATTTAAAACATGACTTTTTCTTCAACCTTATTTTGTAAGTCACATAAACAAGATCATTTCATCTTTGATGCTCCAATAGAGTCCTCCACTTGCTACAAATCTGGTCATGCACACTCAAGGTCCGCTCACATCTAGAAGAAGATGTTTGGGACAAAAGTCACTCATCAACTGGGTTGCCGACTTATGCCAGGAAACGGCGCCTTGTCCGCAAAAAAATCTACTCTGGAATAGCCCTGGACACTAACTCTAACACACAAACCTGACAAAATACGGGTGGAAAAACATAATACTAACCTTAAATAGAACTAGAAGGGATGAGAATTGGCATTGGGGTCGTCGAATTATGAAGGAATAAGGCGCCATGGCCATCGATTTTGTCTCTCCTGGTTTCAACTCAAAATATCGTATCTAACAAACCTATTAAAAGATATGCAGAAAATTGATAAGAACATAAGGAAAAGGACGGACATAAATGAAAATGAACGAAAAGAAAACTAGAACACTTACATCGTTCCCTTTTTAGATGATTATGAGAATTCCAAGCAATGGCACCAAAATTTGATAGCGTGTATGTAGTATGTGTATGCAACTTTACATGGTTCAGAGACCAGGATCGTATTCTCTAGGGTCTCTCACAATCACTTACTCAGGTGGTGAGAGACGAGTTCTATGTGGTTTAAATAAGAATGTGAAGGTTGAGGTTCCTCTGGGTTGAAGTTTCCCTTAGTTTTACAAAACGAAAGAGAACAGTAATGCATGCAAAGTACATATATTCTACTAGCTGGGGAAAGAAGCAGGAAGGTGAGGTGTTGCATATGCAAGCTCCCCCTAAAGCTCCTTTGACTCACAATCTTGATCCTGACAACATACGAGCTGCTTGATACTTTCTAGGTTTATTCCCACCATATATCGTGCGAAACGCCAAGTTTAATAGGCGAGGATAATGGACCCTACAGATGCCTCCTTTAAGGAAGTTGACTGATGACATGTAGAAAGTACTATTTTAGTCCTATGTGTGGTCTGAATTGCATAGTTTTCACACCTTTATTATCATAATAGTTTGGATTTGATTCATGATTACTCAGCGTGGGTCTTAGTAGCTCTAGGATAACTTTTACCATTTCAATACACTTTTGGTAGTTTTTTTTTTTTGGGTTTTCAAAGCATCTTAGAGGGCCACCTTGCTTAAGTTGAAGACATTGTAGACCAGTCAGGATGATAAAACACAGCATGAAAAAGTGAGGAAGTAAAATGCACAAAAAACGATGGTATAAAGCAAAAAATGGCATCAAAGGCTCTATTTTGAGTAGGCACGCGTTTTGACGACTTGGAGATCCAAACTCGAAGAAAACTTTAAAGCCTTGAAATGCAAGCTGGGAAGAAGGAAACCCAGAAACGGCGGTCCAGGCGCCTGATGACGCTCAAATTATAGTGTTTATCGCTACCCATATTTGATACATTTTCCCTTCTATTGATGCATCTTTAGTATATTTTCCTGTATTTAGTAAGGATTTCATAACTGT